ATGACATGTAGACTGGTGTAGCATTCCCCGTGACCTATTACATGATGGAATTAAAAACTGTATTGTTCTTAAGGTCAGAATGGAACAAGATACATTTCAGGCGTCTCAGCACATAAGACACGTTTATGTTTGATTCCACTCAGAAAGTGTAGTTGAAGGTGGATGAACATGAGAGGTGCTTTGGTGCATGAAAGTTTTATATCATTAATTATTTTAAATGATTGTATTAATATCAGTGTAGTTTCTGTCTTCCACTTTGTTCATTTGTATTCTGTTAACGTCAGCAGACATCGACGTAGGTYAGGAATCCTCATTTTGTCTCACTAATTTTGAGTCAAAGTCCTGTGTTCTTGTGGTRGAACACTCCTGAGGGAAGATCTGACCCTGACCCCCTCTCTGAAAGTCAACACCAACATGAGGAAAGTACAAAATGAAACGATTCAGAAGGCAGAATACAAGCACAGACTTTCAGGTTGCTACACAATTAGTTGCAAATGTGTCCTAAAAGCACACTGTGTTTGTCAACTGAGAAAAAAAAACTTTCTCAAAGTTTGATTGAAAGTATTTAGCTGTGAAATAAACAAATCTTTCTATAGGTAAATTAAATGAAGGATAAAATAAATATACATTAAATTTAAAGGTGAAAAGATTGAGGTTTTTATTTTTGTTCAGTTTGAAAAATATATCTGTCCCATTCCATCACCAGCCTAACCCTGTTCAGTTTGATGCCTATCTTGAACAAGTCAACAGACGAGAGACAGGTTACGCCCTGAAGGCATCACCAGTCCATCATAAGGTCAATACAGAGACACACAACCATACACACATACACTGAATAGGGTGAGGCAATATTGGCATAAAAATTTATCACTTTTGGTCTGCTCTCTGTTGCCTGATTCTCCACAGCAAACTCACATGAAATACAGTAGTTGTTCCCTTATACTGTATTTATGTGCAGTTCCCCCTACAGTCACACATCAAGTTATAAGTTTAGGTTAATATGTTGGTTCAGTGTTGAGCCCAAAGACATTTATCATCAACAGCAGTCTTCCAAAACAACCACAAGTGGTCATTAAATTAGACACAGTGATGCCAATTTTTTTTTTACCATACCACAGCTTCCTATGACATTCTACAGGTTGAGCACTGCAGCTTTTTTTAGACATCTTCAAGCATGTCTTTCCTGTCCTCCTACACCTTTTGAGAGTAACACTGTGCAGTTGAATTTATGACTCAGTTCTTGATTTATCACTACCTAAATGTTCCAGACTGAGTGTATTTGCAGGGAAGGCTTGAAGGTCTGGTCAGCCTACCAGACAGGCAGAACATAATGCAGAGACAGCGTACATCTGCAGCTGACACATGATGCCGAGCAGTCATTACTGGGTGGTAGAGAAGCACAAATCGGTGCGCGTCTGCTGGGAAAGAAGCTCCCTGTTCCTTTACAATCTGCAATTATAAAGCATCCTTGTGATTAGCTCGAAAAAAGCAGTTCAGTTCTCTCCCCTCTCTGACTGCCAGTTGTTGGAAGATGATTAATGCTGTGTGATTAATGCTCAAGTGGATTCTTTCCTAACAACAGGGGACATTAAGCACTCAGAGCTCATTTGACATAAAGGTGCAGGAAACTAACCTTTTTATCTTTCTGCTACAGCTGTGGGCAACATTTAGCTTTAACAGCCAGTTTTGCACTTAACAGACAAAACTTAGTGAAATGAAAAATTCTGCGTGGGGCTGAGAGTCATCTAAAACATCACTGCTTTCACTGTCAATTGAAATAATGTTATTATACTTATTATTTTAGCTGTAGTGCTTGGAAGAGGTTTGAAGCAAGTCTACACTCTGTATTGAAGCCTTTCAGTTTTGTTTAAACTTAAAGCATTAAAGTTGAACATACTTTGCAAATCATTTTGTGCATTTCTGTTCAGATTCCCACATGGCAAACTGGGCCAGATCTGGTGTCAGGCTGGCACTGCTGGCTGAYTGCTGACATGGAGAGTGGTTTGTCAGCTGGATGTGGACCAGGTCTGKCAATAGTTGCACTAAGATGGCATGACACTACTGGCCTAGTTGTGGTTTAGTTTTTGTGGTGCTGGCCCCATTGCACGGAYCACCTCTGGCAAACCACATCTGGGCCACAAAAGGGTCATCAGTCTTTCTGGGCCGAGTATTAGAGCATTGTATGGGCCAGAAGTGGGCTAAACAATTTGTGCTATGCGGGTTACCAGTGGTCCCATTTAGGCTTCYAGCTAAGAACAATAAAATGTTATTTAACAAAAACAAATTCCATTTCMTTGTGTTACCTGTTCACCTACACTTACTATTTATTGTTCCTTTATTTGGAAAAGCAGCAGGTAAAAGACATCTGCTGATAAAACCAAAACAACATCAAATCAGGGATTTGGTCAGATTTGGTCAAAGCACTTTTTTAGACTCYCTGCTTTCTAAGCTACATTTTGATACCTGGATCATTCTGATGTCATGAGTAGTTCCAGACCTTGATTTGTCTTGCAAATCAGAGTGACCCCTGGAAAATCAGTCTGAATCCTACATTTGCGTATTTTAATGAGGATTACTTGACGTTGTCTGAAAAGGAAACCTTAAACAATATTTCGATATCAGGAAGGATTTGCCAGCTGGTTTTGAAAATAGCTTCACTAGGATACAGCAAAAGTAGATAAAATTTAGATATTTTTTGAACATAATAATAATAAATAATTGTTTTTTTCACCAAACTGACAGATTTCTCCCATAAAATGATTGTTTAATTGAAAGGGGTTATATTTGCAGGATTTCAGCTCACATAGTCATTTAATAGGCCTATTTATTTTACATATTGTTGCGTTGTTAACTATTTTTGCATGCTGTTGACATGATTAATATCAAAGACTGGCCAATGCTCACAGACAACAGCTGATGGTCAAACAACAGAAAGCTTCCAGTACTGTCAGTCTTATCCCTTGGCTGCAGAGTCTTTGTAATCATTTTCATACACAGAACCGAATTCCTGAACTTTGACACTGTCTAGATTTGTACCACCAACAAATAGATAAAAAAATGTCACATTTTATTAGGACATTTACCTTTTTATATGCTGTAGCCTGAGCTTGAGACAACATGGTAAAGGATTTATCAAAAAGGGGCATCGGAAGCCAGAGGGGTGGTGTATTTCTGGCTGACCCACATTCTTTTACTGAGCCAACTGGACCCATGGGGTGTGATGCTGACAAACCCGTAATGACACTATGAGTGTCCCCCAGGAGTCTCTCTGCTTCCGCGTCCTTCACATMTGACACAATACTGAAAGTCACACACAGTGGCATGCACATTTTTGAGTATCCCCAAAAAAGGGCCGTTCAATCAAAAATTCAAGTTTTAGTTACACAAACTGAAACTGCTGAGGAGATAAATCATATTTAAATATTACAAATTGTATAAATAGATATGTTTACCAGTTGACCTGTAGCCTGGAAGATCTAGGCTCAGCTAGTACTCGTAACTACAAAATGGACTTACTAAGGTATTACTAACACCTAAATTTGTCCCGATAAAGCTGCTGTGAAATGTTTTATACCAGCCTGTACCTAATAAAACACAAGTAAACAGACTACAGATTGAGAGTCACTGCAGTAACATTTAATGACATGCTCTAGTAAGACTTTGTGCCACAGATGTATCAGAAAATAACATCAGTTCACTGTGCAACAAAACAACGGACAACAAAGACAACAAATCTGGTGACACAAGCTTTCCTTTGGGCACATTTGAACTTGATCCATTTTGGCAGCACGGGTGTTGTTTGACACACTAAAAAAACAGCATTTGCCCTAAATGCAACTTCGTTTAGGGTATTTTTGTTTGTTAATATGCTAAAGTTGAATACGCTGGTTGCACGACTCTGCATGATTTCTCATACAGTATCTGTTTTGCTTTGATCGTGCCTTTTTAATGTTTGGATAATAAGGGAGTTTTATTGCAGCGTTGTTCAGCTGCAGATTAACAATTATTATTGTTTTTTTGTACTGTGGATGTAGTGAAGATTCAGAGCCAGTCAACTTGAAGTAAACAGCCGGTTGTATAGTACAATCGTGTAACTGTAACGTTGGTCCAGTGAACCTGTCAGCATGCAGCATTTGGATTTGGCTTCTTGTCTTCCTGGCAGGAACATCAACACATGCACATCAAGACACGCGTCGTTATGTCATCCTCTCACCTCTGCCCTGCCTCCACTCGCGCCTTACTTACAGAATGGACTTAGTGGAACATATGTCTTGACAATGGGGGATTGTTTCCTCTCACTTGTGTCTCCTGATCTTATTAAATATGTCCAGTCGAATAGATCCTTTGGCACACAGTGAAAGTTGTTCTGTGATCCCCGTGAATCTTTTTTTTTAAACCTGATGTACTGATTCTCTTACAGTAAACACTGCCTTGCTGTTAGCCTGACTAAGCATTGACTGATGCAGTTTTTAGTAGTGGATGCTGTTGTTCTGAGCAGCTTTAATATGTGCAAATTAAAAGGCAAACTACCACTGCCATCTCACAAAGACTCGTATTAATTCCTCCTCACTACCTCTGGGATAAACATATGTTCTAATGTTGTTGTTTTTTCTGCCAACACCCTCTGGCACTGTTCATCTGAGTCCACTAATCCAAAAAAGCTCATTTGTGCTCTGTACTGTTTTGTTGGCAACGGCCTCCTTGTAACGGCATTGTGGCACGTTTTTATAATGAATGACATTTTATAAAAAATCATAGACATCAGATGACAATTATGCCTTTAGAAAGAAACTTTTTACTTGAGAAAAAGGTGACTCTTACATAACCCAAAGACATATTTTCGATTATAAAATAAAATACAGCAGTTGTTTCATCATCGTTGTGTTATGTCTGACTGTTAACAGAAGAGTAAATGGCACTGCAAGATCTATTATGTCATTCCCAAGTGTGTTGGCCTTTTATGTAACATTTACATTTTTCTCCTCTTCTTCCCTCCCCAGAGCTCCATCCAGATAACCTTTGACAGCAGTCTCCAGTTCACTGCTGGCTCTGCAATAGAGAGCGTGACCTGCTCTGACCAGTCACCAAATCGAATGGTAAAAAAATGTTTTAGTTCAAGCTCATCATTGCAGATTTAACAAATCAAGAGTTACTTAATGTCATTTACTGCCCTTTGTTCGATTTTAATAATAGATTACAGCTCTGGAAACAGAGAGCAACAAAAAGATAATCTAATGTGACGATCCTCTTCTTGTTTTGTAGGTWTTGCACTGTAAATGTTGGGTGGACACTTTGACGTTCCTTGTGACAGTCACCCAGCAGTCAMCTGCTGCTGTGTCCATGGACACCTATCAGATCACTACCGCACATGTGATGGCAGAGGTATCAAAGCACAGCTATTTGATTTTAGTACCAGATTTTCTGGACTATAAGTCGCTCTGGAATATAAGTTTCACCTCACTAGAAGTCACATCAGATCAGTTATTTAATCTGGAACAACACAACACACAGAACACAGCTTCTGGGATGTCGAGTAGCCATAATTAACAAAATGACATAGATAAGAGCAACTGTATGTGAAATGTTTGCAACGACTAACATTTTTTTATGTATTGAACTTAAAAAAAAAAACCAAAACAACAACTGCAGGAAGATACCAAGAAACAAGTTACGGTACCAACAACAAGCCATTTTTAGCGTACCGTTCACTGTCGTCCTGCCCATTCGTCATTAGCGCCAAACTACTGAATGGTCCATTATTGTTGTGTTGCAAATAAAACAAAATAAGATTTGTGCATGTGAAATTTTTTGATCCCCGCCCACATCAAGATGGCTCTCTGCTCAATGCAAACACAACCAGGGCCGGGCCGGGCCTTACAATGCGTTCCAACAAGCACGTTCACCAATCTTGTTGCAGATATTTACTCCTTGGTTCATATCAGTCAGTATGAACTAACATTTAACATATCAGTGTGTCATGAAGAGGAAAAAAACATAGATAAATCACACCTGACTAAAAGCTGCAGGACCAGCCAAACTATGAAAAAAGTGTGACTTATAGTCTGTAAAATAATACAGTAAAAATAGAGTATCGTATACAGAGGAAGGTACGTCTCCAAAGCAGATGAACGTGTTAGTGACTCATTTAAATCGTTGCCCAAGAAGTGTTTTATGTTGACAAAAAATGAGTAGTTATATTTAGAGTTCTTATTTTTTAAATGCAGTCTTGTTAACCTTCCATCTGCTTCTGCCTTTAATGTGTCGCTGTTTGTTTCCATCAGGTGGCGGCGTTCCTGGAGGAGGTGGAAGACGAGGGTCTGCTGATCTCCTGGACTCTCTCCAAGCAGCCGGCGCTTTCTCTGACAGTGTCCCCGTGTAAAAAAACGCAGGTGAGTACATTCGATACAGGTCTCATTTCTAAAACCACCCAGTTTTTTTTTCTCTTTAACCAACTGAAATCTGCGTGCACTCAGATAATCCAGAGCACGCTACCAACTGAAATCTGCGTGCACTCAGATAATCCAGAGCACGCTACCAACTGAAATCTGCGTGCACTCAGATAATCCAGAGCACGCTATGCAAAATAAGTTTTCTGCTCATACCTTCTAAGATTCTTTTAATACTTCTCTGTCAACTCTCACTGATTTGCATGTGAGTCACTCTGCAGCCCATTTAACTCCTTATGAGTCATGGAGGAAGTGCCACTTTTGAGTTTTAAATATGCATTGCTTATTTGTCTGAAGCGGAGAGAAAAAAGACGACATAAGCAGCAAACAGAAAATAGCTTTTTATTTATAAGAAAGACATTCCAGGATACAAACTGTATACTTTAGAAAACAAAAATGTAAATGTGTAATTTATCTTATAAGTACAGTAATATCAGAGAGAAATAATTGCTAAAAGTGGCTTTTTTAACTGTCAGTTATGTTAAATCCATTAAAGTTCACTGATGCCGAGGCAGACCTGGACATGATCAAAGGAATGATTGAGGACACTCTTCTCAGCACTCAACCAGCCATGGTCCTCAGCCTAAAGACTTCTGTCCCCTATCGTTTGGTGAGGAAAATGCTTTCGCTCAGAGAAAATTAATTATCTAGTTTCTGCAACAAACAAGTGGCAAAAGCTGGGAGGCTGCTGAATTTCAAAGATTATGGTCTTAAGCAGATTAAAAGTGAGCTCTGTGCTGTTGTCTCTGCACCAGTCCCCGGTGGATCACCTCTCAGTGGGAGCCAACTCCACATCCCACAGTGTCCTGGTGAGACGACTCCTCCTCCGGCAGCTCAGCGTGACCTTAAATAAAGGTCAGATATTCTCGCTCGGCTTCTGATTGTTTCCGTAGAGCTTCCTGCAGAGAGCAGAAGTCTCACCTGCCCCTCTTGTGTGGGTTTTTTTTTAGGCCAGTGGTCCAGATCAAGTGAGCTCTGCTGTGCCCTGAGCCTGGACCAACCCTCTGCAGAGAGAAAGACCCGCTTCCTGCCCGTGCCCACCAACCCCAATGGTGCACTGGAATGGAGTGAAGAAATGACTCTGTAAGGTGTCACAGAAAACTCAAAATCACATTAATAGAAATGTTTTTCTTTAAGTGAGCTGCCAAAATGACAAAGCAGAGATTTATTTTGTTTAATGCAGTTTTAAGACATTTAAAACACAACTGGCCTTCGACAATAATAACCTGACAGTAGAATAAATCTGCTCAATCTGTGCATCCATTATGACACTGTGTTTTATGTATTTAAACAGCATTAACAAATATATCTGACAGCCTTTTTCAGATAGCCATGAAATTAAATGTTTCTTTAGTTCTGGGTTTTTACTTCATTTCTGACCCACATATCTTCTGTGTGTGTTCTTTTAAGGGAGCTGGGCCCTGAAAGCAAAGAGCTCAGGATAAGGCTGGTGGAGCGGAGTGGCACGAGGGAACGTAAGGAAAAGCTCAATACCAATTTGCTTCTGGCTGCTGCCCACAAACCTGATCRGCAGCATCGTTTATATCTTTTAAGCAAAAATACCCGTACCTAAAACGCACTGTTGGCAGGTTCACTGTAACGATCTCTATCAGAAGCTGCTCCCAAAATGGCCTTTAGTTGTGTATTTGTAAACAATAATAATAATAATGAGATTTTTCTTCTTTTCTTTTTTTTTTTTGTACTAAATAGAATTTCTTCCGGGTCACGCCTCTGTCGCTTGGAACCTCCAAAGCAAAATCCCCACGGGGCAACATATTCTGTTCATAAGCCCCGGTCATGGTTTAGCACCAGATGCCACCGTCACAGCTGAGGTGAGGGACGAGATCAGCTGCTTTTCTGTAAAACTCCAGGAAACCACTTATGAGGTTTTTCYCAAAGCTTGAAATTTCCAGAAATTTACCAGAACTTCACAACAAAACAGACTTTTTGTATTAAAAGTATGCAGCACATGAGCTTCTGTAGATGACTCCTCTTTATTTCTAAAAAGAACATTGTTGTTMGAGGTAACATTATGTTTATAATCTCTTAAACTGGAAAAGCAAAGAACTGTAGGTCCGAATGTCATTTGACACAAATTGATCTTGATTTGGCGAAGCTCTGAACTCCTGAGAGGTGTATTTGCACGCAGAGCTCTGTTATATTTTTTGATCTTTTCATTCTGACAGCTGCTGTACGTAGAAACCGAGGAGCTCCGCAGTTCCCACAACGCTTTGCCAATCCGCTCCTCGCTCACCCCCACCAAGAAAGTGGACGTGGACCGGACCGTCATGCCGGACGGGACCATCGTCACCACCGTCACCACCGTCCAGTCTCGAGTTAAACTCGATCGCAGCCCGGGTAAGTGAACGCTGGAGGATGTTCAGTTGAGCTGGGGGTGATGAATGAATTAATGCTGCGATGCCTTTCAGGTGATTCCCCACTGTGTTCACCATCCAAAGTGGAGATGAATGAAAAGGAAGCCACGGTTTTGTGTGACGACAGAGGCGACGGCGGCAGTCCGAACCCGAGCAGTAAGTTCCAGACTGAAAACCAGACGTTGTTTTACAAAACAGATGCAAAGTAGGATAAAGCATCGAGCTCACTTTGAAGGTGCTTCTCTTCAAAAAAGAGTTCTTTTAAGGGGGGGTATGCAAAATCAGATTTTTTGAGCTTTTTCATGTTCTAATGTCATTCCTTTATCAAAAACGTGTTGCTTTGTTTCATTCATGCATGTTTGAGAAATCCTTGAATCTCCTGCAGCCATGTGGAGCTGCAAAAACCCTTGATGGTACAAAGCTCCGCCTATTTACACAAAGCTCCTCCCTGGAGCTCAGTCTGCAGCCGAGCTCCCGCCCCACAGAGCACCCCTCCCCCAAAGCAATGCTGTGAAGACGTGCTGAAGTGGGAGTGTCTGAAACAGTAGGAGGTTCTTAAACAGGCCAATTTCAAGTTGAAGTTGAATTAGTTTTTGATAAATACAGATGTTTTTTTATAACAATTGACGGTAACAGTTACTCGATTGTGGTACAGAACTGAACTATGTGACTGAAAAATACATAATACCCCCTTTTAAAAGTTAGTTACTTGAGTAAAACACAAACTTTATACAAAATACCCACTTTTAAAAGTTGTCACGACACAAATATAAATGAATGAAAGAATGATTTATTTATTTGGGACAATGTGCAATTAAAACAATTTGATGCATTGCACCAGATTTAGGCTAATTTTCATCTGTAGTCCCATCAAACAGTAAAAACAAAACAACATCCAACAGTAAAATAGAAATAGGAGAAGGAAAAAAAACAGAAAAATAAAATATAAAATAAAACATTTTGCAATTAAAAAATACATAAAAACACCCCACCCCACCCTCCAATCC